GTTCTGTAAGCCTTCACCTGAAGTACAATAAAAAAAAAAAAAGAATTAAAAACTCCAAAAAAAAATTTTTTTTGAAAAAAAATATAGTCCTTGACATTTTCTTTAAACCAAATAATAGGTTAGCTTAATTAGTAAAGAATATTTGCCTTAAGCATTGTGCTCTTTTAAAGAACTATCCATATGGGATCAAATTGACAACACCAAGTTGAAAAGTCAGATAGTTTGGGGGCAGTGAGTTTATGTTAATGGAGGAGAAATAATTCAGAAAAGAAGGATGACAATGGTTGCACAACTTGAAAAATGTGATCTATGTCACCAATTTGTACATGTAGAAATTGTTGAGTTAGTGTATGTTTTGCTGTGTATATTTTCAACAACAACAACAAAAATACCATTTTCCACTAAAATAAAAGACACCAGGACTTCTTGGAGAGATGGCAGATTATTGGGCAAGAAATGTACAAGATAAGCCTTAAAACTTTTGCAGCGCCAGATACCGAGGAAGCTATCCAACACCGACAGGGATCTAGCAAAGAGGCTCAGAAGCCAAATTGAAGAAGCTCCCACTGGACATTTGTTCTTCAATAAGAGTAATTGCAATTAAATCCAATATTTTAGGAAATAATATTTAGGAAGCATAATATTTGGGGCAAGTCCCTGGGTGGTGCAAACAGTTAATGTGCTTGGCTGCTAACCAAAAGGTTGGAGGTTTGAGTACTCTAGAGGCACCTCGGAAGAAATGCCTGGTGATCTAAATCTGAAAATTCAGCCATTGAAAACTCTATCGAACACAGGTCTACTCTGACACACATAGGGTCACCATGAGTTAGAATCAACCCAACAGCAACTGGTGGTGGCGGTGGATGATTATTTAGGAAAAACTACTCAATCTCAGAGGTTGATAAAAAACTAATTCATTATCTTACAAACTAGTAAGCAAATACAGAGTCAAGCATTTATCCTGCCTTTCCTCTACTACCTTTGGGTAACCAAATAGCACATGAGGGGAAGTATCTCTTTTATAAGTAATCCACCTAATAAATGAGTGGTTTTCCCCACATAGCTGCATCCTCTCCCTCCTTTCAAGTCTTAGCTCGAACATCACCTTCTCTGAGCATTCCTTTTAAAATTGCAAACCCATCTGCCCTGACACTTGCTGTCCCCTTACCTGCTTACTATGCTCATTGCCTTCTTCAATGGAATATCAGCTGGATGAGGTAAGGGATTTTATCTGTTCGTTTATTTGATTTTGTTCACTGCTCTGTCTCTAGTACATATCACAGCACCTGGCACATGGAATCCACTCAATAATATCTCCTTAATGAGTGAATTATTTAATTAAGTAATGACATATCAACTTCCCACTAAATCCAGCTGCAGTCCTAGGAAGGAGATCAAAAACCAAACCAAACCAGTTGCCATCAAGTTGAGAAAAGGAGGATGAAGGAGAAACACTGAAAGACTAAACATCTACCCAAAGCAGAATGAATTAATCTAATTGTTTTAAACCAGAAAAGAATAATATAATTAACTGCTGAATCTAGGTACAGCTCCTGTGCCCTTTCCAATCCTCAACTTCCCTACCAGCAGGATGGAAGTTCCTGGGAAAGTTCAGATGAGCTACAGAAAATAAAGAAGCTGCATTTGCTGCACACCAAAATTTCATCTTGTTCAATGTCGATCCCTCGACTTGATATATTAGTTAACTTTGAGAAATGAGTATGTTGAAACTCAGAGCAGCCAAGTGGTTTGCTGAAGTGAGAGCTAGTAAACAGTGCGGCAAGTCTGGGGGTTCTTATCTTCCCCCATAAGTATTGTTTCACATTGTCCCCTGCCTGCCCATCCTCCCACCCCTGGGATTCCCTGACCAGGACCCACTCTTCAGTCCCTACCCTTCCCCCAAAGAGGTCTAGGTTACCTGGAATGACCTGCGACAAGAGCACCAGCGCAGCCAAAGTTAGCAAGAAAAGCTTCATGACTTGAGGTAGCCCAGGGAGTAGTGTCAGGTCGGAGGAGGGAAGAGCTCTGGACTCTCTGGCTCCCTCTAATCAACTGAGACAACATGGCGCTTACACGTGCCCTCAGCTGCCTATGAGTACAGCCCGCCCTGGAACATCCCGCCTTCCCTTATACTCCTCAGTCACCATCCCAAAGCACCCGAGCTCACGATGTGGAGCCACACATCCCTAGCTGACACACCTCCCTTTGTCCCCCTTCACCTTTGAGGGACCAGCAAGGAGAAGTCATACAACATCCAGAGAAGCATTTTTTGTCATGTTGTTATTGTGTGCTGTCGAGTCGATTCCCACTCAGAGAGACCCTATATCAGAGTAGAATTGATCCATAGGGTTTCTTAAGCTAAAATCTTTATGGGAGCAGATCATCAGGTCTTTCATCCCACAGAGCCACTAGGTGGGTTTGAACTGCCAACCTTTTGCTTAGCAGCTGAGTACTTAACTATTGCACCACCAGGTCTCCTATTTTTTGAGAGAAGTATACATATATGTAACAAAACATTTGCCACTTCAACGTTTTCCACGTGTACAATTCAGTGACATTAATTAGGTTTATCATGTAGTGCAACCATCACCACCATCAGTTTCCAGATTTTTCTATCACCTTTAACAGAAGCTTGGTGCCCCCTAAGCAGAGGGATATTTTTCAAACTATAGGTCAGCCCTTGTTATAGCACAACCTAAAAGCCTCCAAGACTCCACACCACACCTAGGAAAAAAAAAAAATCTTTACTATACCCTACAAAGCCCTACATTATCTGGTCTAGAAATACATCATTATCATGGTTCTAATTTAAATTTAAGCTTCTTTCTTCATGCACAATTTTTCAGTTTAGGGGCTGAGGAGTAGAGCAGGGAGGACAGTCATTCAGATGTCAGGGAGAATTCATCTACTGGACGATTTTTCTCTCTAAGAGAAGAAGTCCTACTGCCTAAAAGACTCAGTTTCACAGGTTTTTAGCACTGAGAGTGAGAGAGAACAGAGTTTAAAATATTCATCTCCTTGTCTTAGCTGTGCTCACTTGTACTCATTCACTTGCTGTGTGACCTTGGGAGACTCATCTCCCACTCTGGGCCTCAGTCTCACCAATAAAGCGGGTTGGAGCCGATGAGCTGTAGAGATCAACCCAATCCTCGTATGCTATGGTTCTCTGGATGTTGAAAGGGCACAGGAAATGGAAAGCTGCCGAACTCTAGACTTTCACCACCAACACAGGCCAAGCCAATTGGGTTTACACCTGAGGATTCTCAGGGCTGCCGTCATTAAGCCTCAGCTCTGGTTGGTTGGTTGGTTGGTTGGTTGGTTGGTTGGTTGGCTGGTCTGTCTGTTTTGTTCACTGCTCCACCTCCAGCACGTATCACACAGTGCCTGGCACATGGAATCTATTCAACAATATTTATTGAATGAGTGAATTATTTAATTCACACTTGGGTCAGAGGCCTCTTCCCTTGATACCAACAACCCAATGTGCTATACGGCCCTTGCAGACCACAGTCCCTCTTTAGGCCTGCTGTTTGTATAGGCAAAACACAAATATTTGCTCTAGTTATTATAACCAAAAAAAAAATCTGTTGCCATTGAGTCGATTCCGACTCATAGCAACCCTATAGGACAGAGTAGAACTGCCCTGTAGTGTTTCCAAGGAGTGGCTGGCGGATTCGAACTGCGGACCTTTTGGTTGGCAGCCAAGCTGTTAACCATTGTGCCACCAGGACTCCCTGGTGGTTATAAAAAAACCAAAACCAAACCTGTTGCCACTGAGTTGACTCCAACTGATAGCAATCCGATAGGACAGAAAAGAACTGCCCCATAGAGTTTCCAAGGAGTTCCTGGTGGATTCAAACTGCCAACCTTTTGGTTAGTAGCCATAGCACTTAACCGCTACACCACTAGGGTTTCTAGTTATTATAAAGGCTTAATATTCTCCCCAGGACCCTTGAATGAGTTTCACCACACCAAGATGTTTCTGGAACAGGGTCCTTGGGGTACTGGTGAGGGAGCAGAGAAGATGCCTTGTGGTCCCTTGGGTCCAGGCAGTTTAGAACTGGGTGGAAGAACTTTTAAGCTGGGTCATAGTATAGTCTGACTTTGATTAAATAGACTCCTCTGGCTTTGCCAGACTCTCCTTGCAGTCCTAACAATGGTTGAAAGGAGGCGTGTCAGCTCAGCTGTGTGTGACTGCACGCTGTGGGCTCCAGGGAGTGGGAGCTGTACCCGTGGGCAGCTGAGGGCACGTGTGGGTGGTGAGTGTTCGGTCGTTCAGAGGGAGCAGGAGCCACAGAGGTCAGAGCTCACCCCATTTGCTTTGTCATCACATCCAGCTTGCGGCTTCACCTTGGGCCACCTCCAGCCATGAGGCTCCTTCTGCTGACTTTGGCTGTGCTGCTGCTCTTGTCCCAGCTCACTCCAGGTAACGTGGGCGTCTTCAGGGGACGGGCAGGGTGTGGAGACTGTGACCTGGCCAGGGAATCCCAAGGGTGGGGGTTGGGCTGCCAGACAACAGGGGTCACCATTCAGAGCCACGTAGAGGAGGACCTCCTGGCACCCTGAAGCTGCCTCTGCCAACAGCAGGTGCCAGATCTTAGATACCAACTATAATGTCCAGAGCAACTCACTCAGCCATCCCCTCCCTCTTCTCCCTGCTCAGCTCCAGGGACCATGTGAAGGTGGTCTAGTGTTTAAGGAAGAGTGGAGCGGGGCAGGAGAATCAGGAAAGAGGGGAAGGCAATAGGAGCCCTTTTGCAAAATATTCCCCCAAATTATCTAGGCTTTGTAAAGATTGCAGCTGCCTTAACAGGAGAGAAAAGCTCGTATTTACTTTTGCTGGCTCTGTGTCAGACCCCATGCTGGGAGCTGGGACCACAGAGATAAATGATGTGGCCCTGGGGGAGCTCACTGAGGGAGACAGTTAAACAGGGTTACCTGAGCTGTGTTAGAGGGAAGCCAGGGGCCTGGGGTGCACCCAGGAGGGACCAACCCAGCCTGAGAGTCTAGAGAAGCCTCCTGGAGGGACACATGAGTCCTGAGAAATGAGAAGGGGAAGAAGAGGTGGAACTAGGAAGGGTGTCCCAGGCAGAGAGACCAGCCTTATACAAAGGCCCAGATGTGGGAAAGAGCATGGCACCTTCAGGGACCTGGCACAAAATAGAGGAGTGGATTAGGGGAGTGACTGGCAAAGCATTCGAGTCCTGAGCCTTGATGGGCCTTGAATGCCATGGAAAGGTCTAAGCAGTGAAGGGCCCTGGACAGACTTGCCCATTCCACTAACTCAGCACTAAGTGCCTGCCCTCTCCCCACACCTGGCAGAAACTTCCGCCCACCCAAAGATTTTTTGTGCGTGTGGTAAATATAAAAGTCCCTGGATGGAGATCAGCTGCTAACCTAAAGGTTGGTGGTTTGAACCCACTCAGCAGCTCCACAGAAGAAAGGCCTGGATAACTGCTTCCATAAAAATCAAAGCGAAGAAAACCCTATGGAGCAGTTTCACTGTCTGTAACACACAGGGTTGCCATGAGTTGGAACTGACTCGATAACAACAGGTTTGGTTTTACGGTTTTGGAAGTTAATATACAGGTAACAAAACATTTGCCATTTCAACAATTTCACATGTTCAGTGGCATTAATTATGTTCATTGTGTTGTTCAACCATCACCGTTAGCCATTCCCGAATCATTCCATCACCCTTAACAGAAGCTCTGTGTCTCCTAAGCATTGTGTCTTCCTTTCTCCCTCCCTCCTAGTAACCACTAATAAACTTTCATCTCTATATACTTGCCTATTCTAGATATTTCGTATAAGTGATATCATACAATATTTGTCCCTTTGTGACGGACTGAGCTCACTCAGCATGATGTTTTCAGGTTAGTCCATGTTGTGGCACGCATTAGGACTCCATTTCTCTTTATGGCTGAGCAATATTCCACTGGACGTATGTACCACACTTTGTTTATCTCTTCATCTGATGATGAACATTTAGGTTATTTCCACCTTTTGGCGATTGTGAATCATGCTGCAATGCATATTGGTGTACAAGTATCTGCATTCTTGTTTTTAATTCTTTTGGGTATATGCCTAGGAGTGGAATTGTCTTTTGTGTTACCCTTCCACAGGGTCAGGATGTGAGTGAATTTCCTCAAACAAATTAATTCTTTGGGGATGACAAAATGGTGATAATCTTTTTCCCCCCAGTGGTTAGCTGGAACACTTACATAAAGAAGACACTCTTTCTCATCTATTATTTGGTTATTCAGCAGTATAGTTCATATTTTTAAAAAAACAAAAAAACCCTGCCGTCAAGTCAATTCCGACTCATAGTGGCCCTATAGGACACAGTAGAACTGCCCCATAAGGTTTCCAAGGAGCAGCTGGTGGATTCAAACTGCCAGCCTTTTAGTTAGCAGCCAAGCTTTTAACCACTGTGCCACCAGGGCTCCACAGTTCATATGGGAAAGACAAAATAATGCTTGACGATTTTTATTTACAAATCCACAAGATAATAATTTACTTTCCCATCATCCTCCAAAAGTGATGAATTAGTTTTTAATATCATTATAAATTCATGAATTTAAATTTGATGAATTTTTATTTGTTACAATTCTTTATTCTTATTGAAACTCAAATTGCCCCATTATTGACTAGTGGGAGCCTCTTTAATATGGCTCCTGAGCCTTATATTACATAATCCTGGTAGTCTTTGAAAGGTCCCTGGGTGGGGAAACGGTTTGTGCTTGACTGCTAACCTAAAGGTTGGCAGTTCAAACCCACCCAGCAGTGCCACAGAAGAAAGGCCTGGCAAACTGCTTCCGTAAAGATTACAGCCAAGAAAACCCTACGGAGCAGTTCTACTCTGTAACACATGGGGTCGCCATGGGTCAGAATCCACTCTACAGCAACAGGTTTGGTTGGGGGTTTTTTGGTAGTCTTTGATAGCTTCCTTGTGATAAAGCCATCTTATAGAGACCACAGGAAACATACCTGCAGTCTGACAAAGTTAGCTGTATCAACTTCCTGCAGCAAAGGAAACGCACAGGGAAGGAACCGTGGGACATCTTGCCAAACGAAGAAAAAAACAAGGGGTTACTATAGGATTAGGAGCCCTGGTGGCGCAATGGTTAAGTACTCAGCTGCTAACCAAAAGGTTGGAGGTTTGAACCCACAAGCAGCTCTGCGGGAGAAAAGACCTGGAGATCTGCTTCCATAAAGACTACAGCCTAGAAAACCCTATGGGGAAGTTCTACTCTATGTGCCATTGAGTCGGAATCAACTCCACAGCACACAACTCTGGGTTGGGCAAACAGTTTGCACTCGACTGCTAAAAAGAGTGGCGGTTCGAACCCACCCAGAGGTACCATGGAAGGTAGGCTTAGTGATTTGCTTCCCTTAAGATTACAGCCAAGAAAATCCCATGGGACAGTTCTCCTTGGTAACACATGGAGTCACCATGAGTAGGAATCTACTGGAAGGCAACTAATGACAACCACAGGATTATGGGAAAGGATGAGGTTTCATAAAATGTAAATAAAGTGATGTTTGATAGCCTTCAAGGCAAAGTAAGGCCATGTTAAAGGGTTGACATCAGGCCTGGGCTGAGAAGCAGATTTAGGTTTCCTTGGAAACTACAAAATTAAGATACCTTGGATGGTCTGTTAACCCAGGACTAAAACCATTCCCGAAGCCCACTCCTCAGATAAAGATTAGACAGGACTATAAAACATAAAATAATACTCATTAGAAGTGTGCTTCTTAGTTCAATCGGATACACAAGACCAAATGGGCGGTTCCTGTCCAGAGGCAGGACGAGAAGGCAGGAAGGAAGGGACGGGAACTGGTTGAATGGACACAAGACATCCGGGGTGGAAAGGGGGATTGTGCTGTCACATTGTGGGGATGCGACTAACATTACATACCAATATGTGTATAAATTTTTGTACGAGAAATTAACTTGAGCTGTAAACTTTTGCCTAAAGCACAATAAAAAAAAAAAAAATTAAGATAGATGAGGAATTTTGTATCCCAAAACTCCTTATCTGAAGCCCTGAACTGGCTCCGAAATCAAGGCTGCTTTTCTGTGTTGAAAGGCTCAGTTCTTCCAACGAAGAATGTAATGTTCCACTCCTGCTGATATGATTTCAAATACAAAGTTTCTACAGTCAGGGTTTGAGAAAACAGGATTTCTCAGCACTTTGCCCTTTTGTTAATTAACAAAACTAGTTGCACTGTTCACACTTGCTATCTGGTATGACAAGATATTCTAGACTCATCTTGTCTATCTTGCCCCAGACCTTGAATTGGTCATTTCTTCATGAAGCCCTGGTTTCCTTTAGTGGGAAGATGGTATTTCAAAACTACAATCTAGATGCTAGAGATACTCAACGCTACTACGTTGGTCATTGTTTCTAGGCCTTCAGAAGGGGAAGGGAGAAAGGGAACTCAGAGGAGAGGAGAGAAAAGGTGAGGCTTATGTATGCCTACCGGATGTCCTTCTGCAGCAACTCATGGTGACCTCATGTGACCCCAAGTGTAACCTTTCAGAAGCAGGTCACCAGGCTTGTCTGCTGAGCAGCCTCTGGGTGGATTCAAACCACCAACTTTTCAGCTAGTAGTCAAGCACGTAACCATTTGTACCACCCAGAGACAGAGTGACTGAGTGACTACTTAATGGGTGTGGGGTTTCTGTTTGGGGAGACGAGAAAGTTCTGGAACTAGATGATGATGACGGTTGCACAACATTGTGAACGTACTTAATGCTACTGAATCATACACTTAAAATTGTTAAAATGGTAAATTTTATGTTACGTGTATTTTACCATAGTAAAAAAGGGAGTGAAGAGAGTAAGGCCAGGGTCAAAGGCAGGGAAAACTGGGAACCCACTATCATGCCTGTATTAATCCTTTTACAAACCTTTCAAATCCAGAACCACCGCTTCTTAGTGCTAACACTGGCTGCTTTCTTCTTTCCTTTGTGTCAGGCCACACCCAAAAGTGCTGGAATCTTCACGGTAAATGCCGCCGTAAATGCTTCAGGAAGGAAAAGATCTATGTTTACTGCACTAATAATAAATTCTGCTGTGTGAAGCCCAAGTACCAGCCAAAACGAAATCCATGGTTATTTTAAGTGCTTTGAAGCCTAAAGCCACAAAATGCAGATGAAGCTACCCAGAGTCGGACCTAGTGGACTCCTGAGCTCTATTAAAATACCTCTGGCTGATCCTTGTGTTTGTCTGCTAATGACCCCAGCAATTCTCCAGGCAGTCCCCTTTCACATGGTCTGTGAGGTCAAAACTATATTTATAATAATAATAAGATGTTATTTGCCTTTTCCAATCTCATGCACTCACAACTGTGCGATGGAGTTTTCCAGAAACTACATGACATGTGATAACATCATTGCTCTGACAGCTAAAGAAAGATGTTCTTATGTACTCTTGTGCATCTAGAGTCTAGCATCTAGAAGATCTAAGATACAACTACATTCATTTTGAGAGGTGAACACAATTGTTCTTGGTACTTCTACCGACTTCTTACTACTTCTCTTTGGTTACGTTATTAATCTCTGTAAATTCATTATCATCTAATAAAATGTTATTTTGAAATCCAGAATTTTCCTTGCACCTATGTAGAAGCACAACAAAGAACTAAAAACATTTTGTTGTTGTCTTATTTTTCAGTAATATTTTAACTGCAACATTTATAATTATAATTTCTAATTTTTAATTACAATATTTCCTCATTGTAATTTTCAATATGGTGAATATCAATAGATACAACCTACATCAGGAGTCGGCAAACTACATTCCAGGGGCCGTATCTGACCCACCACCTACTTTTGTAAACATAGTTTAATTAGAACACAGCTGTGCCCATTCGTTTATGTATGCTGCAATGACAGAGACTGTATGGCTTGCAAAGTCTAAAATATTTACTATCTGGCCCCCAAAAAAGTTTGTCAACCCCTGACCTACATAAACAAAAGCTTTTGGGGGTCCCTGGTAAATTTTAAGAGTGCAAAGGTGTCCAGAGGCCAAAACATTTGAGAAATACTGGTCTACCCAATCATGCTTGAAGAGAAGAAAGCCTGGGTTAGGGAAATTTTGCCAGGGAGGAAACAAGACGTTCTATATGCCAGGTGCTCTGTATCCTTTATCTCATCTATTCCTCACAACCAACCTGAGAGAGATATTGCCATCACCTTTCCTTTACGGATGGGGAAACTGAGGCTTAGACAGGTGAAGTGATTTCCCCAATGCCTGGGATTCAAATACTGGTCTGTACGGCATCAAGAAGGAGCCCTGGTAGTGCAACAGTTAAGCGCTTGGCTGCTAACTGCAAGGTTGGCAGTTTGAACCCACTCAGCAGTTCTGCAGAAGAAAAGACCTGGTGATCTGCTCTCGTAATGATTACAGCCTAGAAAACCCTATGGGGCAGTTCTACTCTGTCACACTGGGTCACTATGAGTCCAAAATCCACTCAAAGGCACCTAACAACAACAACATGACCTAAAGGAGAGGGCAGAGAATATGACTTGCAAATAGCCAATAGGAATAAGAACTATGAATAAGAAACACCATATTTGAGTCTCTCAAATGAAAAGCTGGGGAGACAGTGCTACAATGGTGTCCCAATTTCTGGGATCATTGCAGGAGCTGAAGAGGTAAGCAGGAAAATATGTTTATCGCTAGGCCTAATTCTTACAGCATTGAATCTTTCTCTAAATCAATCTCTCTCTCTTTCTCTCTCTCTATATATATATATACACACACATATATGTTTCCATATACATAATAATGTAATATATTACATTGATACAATATTTTTATCTAATCTACAATATATAATCCACTTTTGTCACTTGTCCCAATACAGTCCTTTACAGCACTTCCCCTTTCAGTAGAGGATCTAGTCCAGAATCACAAATTGTGTTTAGTTGTCATGCCTCTTTAGTCTCCTTTAATCTAAAACAGTTCCTTAGTCTTTGTTTGTCTTTCATGACATTTATATTTTTTAAGAGTACAATTCAGTTATTTTTGGAAGGTTCTTCAGTATGGGTTTGTCGGATGTTTCCTCATGATTAAATTCATTAGGTTGTACATCTTCAGCTGGAATATTACATAAGTGATGCTGTGTCCTTCCCAGGGTAATATATCCAGTGGAGTCTTCTTCAGAGATCTAAAAAGCTATACATCTTTTAAAGATGTTGAAGATCTGTAAGTGTAAAAGTGTCTATATGAGGACGGATTGATGGGAAGGGTGTACAGGTGTGGTGCGGAAAGAGAGCTAAATCCTCATCTTCCCCAGAGGGAAGTTCATTGATAATGCCCAAAAATGAAAATTCAAGGAGAAGAAATATAAGCATGTTATTTAAAGACATGGAGGAAATGCCAAAACAAGCAGCTAAAAGAAATAGAAGTAGTGCTTTTGGTGAGAAGGAAACCTGAAAGAGAGGAACACTATTTTTCATAACAGACCTTAGAGACTTATTGGCTCTTTCAACTTTAGCTAGAAAATAATATTTAAATACCAGTTAAAATAACATCAAAAATATAGAGTAATGGCTTCTTGCTAACCAGCAAGGAAGATGTATTATTCATTCAAAAAATATAATTGAATGCCTCCTCTACCTGGAACTGAAGATACCACGGTAAGCAAAAATAGATAGGTTCCTGTCCTTATGTGGCTTAGTCTTATGGGACAGATAACCATCAACCAAATAATCATACAAATCAAAGTAAAATTGCATGTGGGGATTGTATAAAGGAGGTCTGTCTCTAGTTTGGATGTAGGTCACAGCCTTTGCTCCCACTGTAAAAACTAGGAAAGACAAAGACAGAAACTAAAAATCGTATCTCTCTCAAGACATCAAAGATCTGTAAGCACAAAAATATCTGTAAGAACTAATTTCTAGAGAAGGATAAGCCCTTTCTAAGACAGCAAAGATCAATTACCCCATCCCTTCTCATCTCCCATAGAGGCATTTACCAACTCTAGGCAAAGTAGAGTGGAGGATTGGGGTGGCTATGGGGAGAGGAGCTTTGCTGGGGTAAAGAAAAACCAGAGCAACTTTTAATGATCTCATGATCTGGCATGATAAATTGAAATGTTTAGGAGTTCCAAACACAGAGCTAGTTTTCCCCCAGTGTGCCAATTCTCCCACATGAGGTGTTTGCTGAAAGCATGGAGGGCAGGAAGCTGGGCTGGAAGGCAGAGAAAAATCCTTCATAGTCTCACAGGACTTAGCTCCCAAAGATCTGGCTAGAAGGAAGGGCCTGTAATACACATAAGACTGATCTCACCCTCAAAACTTTTACAGAGGTATAATAAAATTAACAACCTGTCCTAACTGCCTGACAGAGGAAAAGACATACTTTCCCTGAGGTAAAATAATATCTATTCTAGTCTATACAGTTCTTTTAAATATAATTTCTGGTATAAGAAAAAAAATTTACAAGACATGCACAGAAGTAGGAAAATATGACCAATAATCAATACTAAAAAGAGTCAAACAAGATAAGCCAGTTATTGGTATTAACAGACAACTTTAAAATTGTTATTATAATTATATCAAAGAAATTAGATGAAAAAAATTACTAAAATGGTTGAGAGGATGGAGAATTTAAACTCATACAAGGAGAAATAGTTTCTACTCCTACATTACAAAACCACCCCCAAAACTTAGTGGATTAAAATAACAACCATTTATTATTTCTCACAGTTCTGTTAGTTTATCGAGTGGTTCTTCTGACAGTCTCACCTGGGGTCACTCATGTGACTGCATCTCTCTCCACATGGCTTCTCCATCTCAAGGAAGTTAACCTTGACTTCTTACATGACAGCTGGTCCAAGAGGGAAAGCCTCAATATGCAAGCATTTAACAAGCTTTTGTTTATATTATGTATGCTTCCTGAAGTCCATTGGCCAAAGCAAGCCATGTGGCCGGGGGTCAATGTGGAAAAAAACTACACAAGGGCATGAATACTAGGAGGCATGATTCATTGGAGATAATCAATGTATCAGTCTATCACAAATGGAATCTCTAAGAAAGAATGAATTTGCCATTCTAAACTGAAAAATACAAAATCTGAAATTAATAATTTATTGGATGGGCTTAACAGCAGACTGGGCATAGTAGAAGAAAGAGTCAGTGAGCTCAAAGACATATCGATAGGAATTACACAAATTGAAACACAGAGAGGAAAAAGAATGAAATTCAAATAGAAGAGAGCACCAGAGATTTATGGGATAATATCAAAAGGTCCAACATTTGTGTAATTAGAGTCCTAAAAGGAGAAAGAAAGAGGGAATGGGAAAGAAAAATATATTCTTAAGAGATAATGGCTGAAATTTTTCCAAAATTGTTGAAAGACATCAACCCACAGATTCAAGAAGCTTAGTGAACTCCAGATAGGATAGGCACAAAGGAAATCAAAGCTAAGCATATTATAGACAAACTGCTACCAACTGTACCTATAAATATTTCAAACAAAAATGTTCAAAAATTTTATGGGAAAAAATTAGAAAATTTCATTGAAGGACAATATAGAAATCCTCAATTAATAGGAAGATATACCACATTAATTAATTAGAAGACTCAATATTTTAAAGATGACAGTTCTACACTAATTGTTCTCTAGATTCAATAAAATTCCAATCAAAGTCCTGACGTGAGTTTTTAAGAAATTGTTCAAAATTGTGCACATATCAATATTTTGTTAGGAACATGAACATGGGTAATAAAACTGTCAATAAACACAAATTTAGGATAGTGGTTACCTCCAAGAATGTAGGAATAAGGGACATGATCAGGAAGGGATAATGGTGATGTTTTATTTTTTAATCTGGATGGTAGGTATAGAAGTGTTTGTTGTCTTATTTTTTTATACATTTATGTATTTTTAAAATATTTTGCCTTCTCAATATATAATAAAAGTGGGCTTTTTTTAAAAAGAGATTTTTAAAAGTATGAGCATTAAGTACCTTAAAGAAATGTAACACCAAAAAAATGAGAAAGCTAATCAGTGATAAAAAGCCTAGAAGAGGAAATATTTGAAAACCACATATAAAGAATTTTTATCCAGAATACGTAAAAAACTCTCAAAACTCAATTATAAGAAAACGAAC